GGCTGCGGTGGCCGGGAGCAGCCACTGCTCTCTAGTCTGGGTGACAGTGAGACTCCAACTAAAAAAAAAAGAAAAAAAAATTATTTATATTTCTGATCTTTGGAATGGTATTTTCTTTCTCAGAATACTCTTAGGTCTTGGGTCTTAGCTCTGAGAAACTGCTTTTCCATAGTTCAATTCATCTCAAACTAAAATAATTTATTTCAAATAGGGAAAGGCCTTTGACAGTTTCTCCTAGTCCCAGTTGTTTTAGATCTTTAATACATATCTTGATATAAATAAGCTGATGCCTTTTCCTAATGAGTTACAGATATTAGTACATGTGGTGTTATGATACAGACACGGGTCTTTATCCACAGCTCCTGGTTTGAAATTCCCATAGCCTTTGTTACAGTCTTTTGCTGTAATATTGAGTATGTAGCCTCAGGGGCAAGCCTCTGGAAACAGAATCTCTCCACCTTCTCCCGCCCTTCTCTCTCACCTGCCACAAGGCAGGTCTCTGCTCTTCCCGGAACTTCTGACTGTGGGTCTTAAGACCCTCCCCAGAGTAGGCTCTGCCCCATACACTGGTGGAAGAAATGCTGACATCATGAAGCTTCCATAAAAACCCAAGAGAACTGAGTTTGAATGCATAGAGGCTGAAGGGAAGGTGAAGAACTCATCCATGTGCCAAGAGAGTGGCGCACCCCAACTCATCAACACGAGCCCCTGCACTTGAGGCTCCTCCAGATCTCGCCCTGTGTCTCTTCATCCGACTGCTCACTTGTATTCTTTAAAACATCCTTCTTATATTAATTCCGTGTTTTGGTGATTTGAGTATGCTTTTTTGGAGGAAAGAACAATCCAACTGGTCTCAGAATGTAACCCTATGCAATGCTAAAATATGATATCTGCTTTCTAAGTATAAAGAATACTTTGATTCTCAAATTTCTTACCATGTATTTTCAATAAATAAAATTTAAGTTTATATGCTTAAAAAAATAAAAAATTAAAACATCCTTCTTAATAAACCAGTAAACCAGTGTTTCCCTGGGTTCTGTGAGGTGCTCTAGGCAAGTTGGATTTGTGGGAATTCCAACTTGAAGTCAGTCAGTCAGAAGTTCTGGAGGCCCAGACTTGGGACTGGGTGGGAGAAAGAAGGGGAGCAGTTTTGGAGATTAAGCCCTCTGGGTAGAGTCCCAGAACTGAATCGGAGGACACCTAGCTGGTGTTCCTGGCTTGGTGGTAGGAAGAAATCCCCACACTTGGTCACAGAAGTCTTTTTCTGTGTCGCTGACTGTTGTGGACTGAGAATAGAGGAAAAACACGGTTTGAGGCTTTTTCCCAAAGCATCACCTCTGGCTTTATTTTGGTTAGGCAGAAATACAAATGCTGTCTGAATTGCTTCCTGGAATATACTTCACAACTGAGACTATCTGATGATTGATTTTATCTCATGGTCAGTATACCAGGAGATAAACAATGTTTATAGCTATACAGAGTCAGAAACATCTTGTGCTGGAGTGGACGGTTTCTCCACAAGCTAAAATGCATGTTTAATAGACTCGATCATGTATACTTAGTGTGACTGTTCCCCTTCCTATATCAAAAGACCATCCTAACCTTTGGAATCCATACAGGAAAAGAGAAACTTTCTATTTCTCCAAGACTTGTTGGATGGAAAGAGCAAATCTCTATACTCATTTAAAAGGTGAAATAGTTGCTTTCCATTTTTATGTCTTTCAGCTTTCTCTCTCAAAAAAGAAAAATAATCCACCAATTTCCAGTAAAGGCCTTATTCAAAACATAAACAAAAACAAGTAAAACATAGAGGAAAACAAAAAAATTTTTACTGATGCTACTTTTCGTATTTCTTTTTACATTCACCTGTAATGAGCTCAATTTTGCTTAAAATGTCAAATTTGGGGCTTAGCAAAAAAAAAAAAAAAATTCCACTTTCCTATATTGGAAGACAGACAATTTCAAGTTAAACAAGGAAATATCTTTCCCCAGAAGCTATGTGCCCTAACTAGCAGCTCTCTTCAACTTTAACCTGCCCCCAAACAAGTTAAGAAAGGCAGGCACTGGAGCATACAGATCTCTTTTATTGTGTCTGTTTAATATGGGCTGATTAAAAACTGCAACATAAAATTGTCTAAAGAGAATCTCTTCCAGGTAAAATCACTCAAAAGTCTAGGGAAATGGCTTATATTATGGTAAAACGTGGACACATACTGAAAATATCAGCTATGTGCAGTTTTTTAAATCAACCTCATCAGAAACTAGAGAAATAGAAACAACAGCATTTTCTCAATCTGTTATGATTTATATAAAACACAAGAGTAATATATGTTCGCTTTATGGATAAAGAACTTTTTAGATGAACATATATAACACAAGACTAAAGACCTTAGGAGATTAGCTTGATCCATTCTATTTGAGTGTAACAGCATACCTGGGGTTGTCTTTAATCTGATTATTATAATCTTTTAATCAGCTTAATCTTTGTAACCCATGCCATAGGGCCTTCAACTCTAAAGAGAAAATAATTTCAGTTATGACAAGCGTGGACTTTGTCTCACTGATGTCTAGTTACCCAAAATAACTTTTTATTTTCCAGCATCTCCTATGAAATTGCTCCTCCCAATAAAACCAATAAATAAGATAAATGAATGTAAACTTAAAATTGAGACCAAACTTCTTGTCATAACTAAGCTATATGACTACAAGTCAAGCAGAATTTTCCTGAGACATATTTGTCAATTCAAATAACTGGAGAATTGTAGAAAGGAAGGCTTAGATTCAAAATAAAACCTGCTATAGATTAAGATGAGAGCTAAATTTATACTGTTTTCTTTGTTCTGGTTCTTGTATTATACTTTGAACAAATCAGTGTTTAATAAATCCTTGTTAGTATAAAAAAGAACTGATAATAAATTTCATCCGCACTAATAAAGATCCAGTAAAACTGAAAATATTTTCAACTACCTAATCAGTAGTCCCCAAACCAATTACTGAAAGTAAATTATAAAATTACTTGAATTATTTATTAGAAATCCAAAAGGTATTTAAATAATATAAACCTGTTGAACAGATTTACAGTATTAAAAAGTTTTGCTTTTAATGTACCTTTGCCTATTATTTCCTATTCAGACATAAATTATTGATCTTTTATATCTTCAGTATGCCTTTAAGACACATTACCAAGATGAACTCATTCACCTGAACAACTTCTCTTATAATAATATCATTATCACAACTAACAGGAAAACACTAGAGCACAGTATTTATATGATTGACCCAGGCATCTACAAATAGACTCAGGAGACAAGAACAAAATAGTGCATTATAAACCATAATTTAAAAATCAAAATTGTATTTGAAAAATATTTATTGCTGTGAGATGGGGTGAAAAGTTAGAGAAAACTCAAATGTAGCTTGACTTAAGGGTAAACGTAATTAGTGAATTAGTTGCTTGGTTGATTAAAATCATGTGACTAAATTATGAGAAAATCCTCTAGGAACCCACAATAATGAACAAAACTGGCCGAACTACTTATTTTTATTTTGAGTACAGGTATCAAAAGTCAAAGATCTGTTTTCTTTATCTTTTTAAAAGATTTATTTCTTAGCATCCTACTTATTTTCTAAGTCCTATTGAAGTTTTTCAGAATCTAAGTTCCTGAAGTTTTCTATAACCCAGAAGTAAAAACAAAACAAAAAGAATCTAAGTTCCTTAAACAGTCTTTTTAAAGTAATTATTTCACTTAAAATAATGGTAAGGGAATTCAAAGAGATCTGAACACCACGAAAAGTTGTACAGGGAAAAAAAATGTAGTCATAAGTTGCTCAACTCTTCTGATTAAACTGACTAATACAATATCTCTCAGTTCCTTGTCAGTTAATGATGTTCTCATTATTCCAGTCATTTCAGCTCTTTCATCTACTTGGAAAGGACTAGCAATTCTATCTTCCCAATCTCTCTTCAATTTGCCTCTTCAATTCCAATGCAAGCTGCCACATACCTCAATACTTCTTACCTGCACTATAGTCCTCTTATCCTAAATAGTCTCCCTGCTTCTACTCTCTTCAAATACTAATCCAGTTCAACCAGAAAACAACTTTCAGATTGATATCAGTGAAGTACCACTCTCAACATGCCACTTTTATGTGTAAAAATCTTTTAAAAGGGGGTTGTGACTCTAAAACAGAAAAATGCTTACAGTGCATTAAGCAGAGAAACGAAATTCAAGAATAAAAGATTGTGTATGCATATTAGAAATAACTAGAAAAGAACACAAAAAATTAAGAGAATTAATTTAAAAGGGACAGGGACTTGGGATTTACCAACATTTCCTATTTGTTACAATGACATTTATGAAACAAATTAGTAAAAACTTTCAGTTGACCACTTACTGCTTACATACCATAAAGCTTAAGCGCTGTCATCTGGCTTCCGAACCTGACTTTACAGCTTATTTTCAAACTCTCCTTTTCACACAACCTAAAACTCCAGACAAACTGAACTATCCATTTCTCATATGGGTTCCTGACTGTTCTTTCCCAGCTATGAGTCACTGCTGACATCATCTCCTCCAGTTGGTATATTCCCTTCCTCTATTTCTATGTGTCCAAATACTGACTACCCTTCACAGTCCAGTTCAAATGATACATTCTCCACTAAACTATCCCTGATGTTTCCTTACTAAAAACTCCAATAAGCATTTCATCTATTTTTTCCTATAATATATAGCATGCTGTATTTTGTATTGCAAGCTCTGTGTGTGTGTGTGTGTGTGTGTGTGTATACAAAGTAGCCCTCTTTAGAACAGGGACTTTGTTTTAGCCATCTTTGTACTCAGGACATAACATAGCATCTTTCTCAATAAATATATAAAATGAGTAAGTACTTTCAAAAGGCAAGGGCTAGTCAGACAAAAAACTGACTGCAATTCTTTCTTTTATATTATGATTTTCCGTCTTTTTGTCACTCAGATTTATTCCTAACCTAACCTTCTTACCTGAAGATATGTTATTCTCCGTTGGACCAGTTCGGTCAGATCTTTGGCCTCTTTTTCCCGCCAGTCACCTGCTCCATCTGTCTGACTGAGGTAGTATAGATCTGTCATTATAGACCTGTTGAAACAAATAACATCAGAGGTTTAACTTATTTGTGCTGCTTCAATGGATTACAAAAAGTCTTAAGAAGGGAGTCAAATTCTTCATAAAGATTAATGCTCAAGGTGATGCTAGTACTAGTCTTTTATTTTCTATCAAGGCTGTGAAAGTCAAAAATCAGTCTCTACCATCCAATGTTCATTTCTATGATAGATGTTTTACTGTTGAGAAAACATACTTTTTTCCCCCAGGCCAGTCAGCTACACTTTTTCCCCAACATAGACAAAGCACTATAGAGATCTGGAGAAGTGGATATGCAAAGCAAAGAAGTAAGTACATTAGCAGAAGGGAGAGAAGGAAGCTGGTGTCAGTATTTGAATAGTACTCCTTGGTTCTCTCTACTGTCATTTCATGTCCCCTCTTACATTTTCTCTTCCTACTTAAATACTCTGAATGGTTGAGAAAAGATGAGAGGAAAATTTTGATACAGCTCTTCAACAATGGTCTAAACCAAAGGTCAGCCAACTTTTTCTTCAAAGGGCCAGATAATAAATTCTTCGGGCTTTGTGGGCCTCTGTTGCCTTTGTAGCTCATAGATAGCTGTGTTATAAAACTTTATTTACAAAAATAGGCAATGAGCTAGATTTGACCCTTGGACCATAATTTGCTGATCTCTGGCCTAAACTAATACAATAATTGTTAAGAAACTCTACCACTCTGTGTAGCATCAGTAATTTAAATGATAATATGCTGGATTTCCTGCAGAGCAAACTTAAATCCCCAGTAAACTAGAAAGAGAAACTTTAGGGCTGGTGCAGATAGTTTTATTTATACTGCATTAGATAAAAGCTATAACCTGCATTTAGCAATAAAGAAAAATAAAAAGCAAGTCTTTAACAGTCCCCATCAATCTGTCAGCCAACAGATATTTCTGACCATGTATCACTCCCAGCATTACCAACTGAGCCATTATCTTCTTTTACCTGAGTTACTACAACAGCCTCTTAACAAGGTCTCCCCACTTCCATCCTTGGCTGTATGTACAGTCTGGTCGCAACACAGCAGCCAGACCCTGTTACAACATCATGTACTCCTTTGCTCTTAATATGAATTGGCTCTTCTTCTCCCTCAAGAGTCAAAGCCAAACGGACTTCTTTGATCTGCGAGACCCCACACAGTATGGCCCACCACCATCTCCTGACTCCTCTTCTTTCACCATCCTCCTGGACTTCCCTACTTCAGCCACTCCAGTCTTGTTGCTACCCTGCAAGTGCCAGGCATATTACTGCTCAGCGTTCTTATATTTGCTCCTCCCTGCCCTGGAAGGCTCTTTTCTCAGACATCCATTCACATGGCTCACTCAAATGTCTTTCAAATCTTTGCTCAAATGTCACCGTTTCTATAAGGCTTTCCCAGACTACTTAAAAATTCACCTCCCCGCCTCCCAATCACCATCCTTTGGCTTTCCCTCTCCTCCTTCTCTGCTTATATTTTTCCAATTATCACTTTCTAATATACACTATCATTTACTTCTCTATTTTATTATCTTTCTGCCCTTACTATAATTTAAGTTCCATGAGAGTGAATTTTGTTTTTTCGACTCAGTGTCACCCAGGTTGGAGTACAGTGGCATGATCATGGCTCACCACAGCCTTGACTTCCTGGGCTCAGGGGATCCTTCCATCTCAGTCTCCTGAGTAGCCACGACTACAGCTCACTACCACACTTGGCTATGTTTTTTTATTTTTTGCAGAGACGAGGTCTCACTATGTTGCCCAGGCTGGTCTTGACCTCCTAGGCTCAAATGATCCTCCGGCCTTGATCTCCCAAAGTGTTGGGATTACCGGTGTGAGCCACCAAGCCTGGTCCTTGTTTTTTAATTTTGTTTCGTATTAAATCAGCACTTGGGACAGTGCTGGTCACAGACAAAACGTTTGATAAATATCTTTAAATGGATACATGAAATGAAAAAGTAGCAAAAGAAAAATCTTCAAGAGTTCAGGTAATGAGATAATGGTGATAATGTTTATCTTTCAGTTTGGTGGTATAGAGATCTGGGGAATAATCTCTAACTAGTTGTAGCTCCAGCTTCACCTCTTCTCAATACTTTACATTAAATCTTTAACTGCTTAACAGTATGGATTATTTCCCTGTGATAATTATACAGTTAGAAATGCATTTATATTTGTCAGAAAAGTATATACATATTCATAAAACATAAAACACATACACTTCTAAAAAATTACCTACGATGATTTAACTAAAAGCATAAAGCATCAGCTGGAGGTTCCAGAAGTACTTAAAGAAAACTGATCTATAACATTAAATAAAAACAACAACAGTGAACAGGTATTCCTATCTCACCATGGGCCAGACACCTATTCTGGGTGCTTTAAATCATTTCATTTAATCCTCACAACTATTGTATAAACTAGGCATTGAGAGGTTAAATAATTTGCTCCAAGTTACAAAGCTTAGAAACGCCATAGCAGGAATTCTAACCCAAGCAATGTGATTCTAAAGCCCAAGCTTCTAACTACTACATTAACAAATATCAAAATAGGAGGTTCAGAGTATAGTAATATATACTTTGCTCAGTGTACATATTCAAAATCAGAAAGTCTGAATCTGAGGAGAAAGCTTTGGGAGCCAGAGAACGATTGTTCAATTTTGAGTCTACCTCTTACAAGCTTTGCATCCTAGAAGGGTTATTTTGACATCTCTGAGATTTAGTCACTTCATCTAAACTAAGTATCATAAAATCTTCCATAAAGCTTCTTTTTTTTTTTTTGAGTTGGAGTCTCACTCTGTCACCCAGACTGGAGTGCAGTGGCCGCTCCCGGCCACCGCAGCCTTGACCTGCCGGGCTCTGGCAATCCTTCCGCCTCAGCCTTCCAAGTAGCTGGAATTACAGGCATGTGCTACCACGCCTGGCTGATTTTTTTGATTTGTTGTAGAGATGAGGCCTTGCTTCCCAGGCGGGTCTCGAACCTGCGGGCTCAGGCGATCCACTCACCTCAGCCTCCCAAAGGCGCGGGATTACAGGCTGAGCCACCAAGCCCGGCTTCCATAAAACTTCTTAAAAACTAAATAGTGATAATATGAGGGGGGAACGCCAAAAAGCCCAGAATTTATTTACAGAAAATGATGTATTTATTTACACTTCGGCCACCTTCAAAGTAGTCTACGTTTGATGCAACATACCTATTGTGATGCTTTTGGGTGTCTTTTAGTGTTTCTGCTGGGTCCTCCCCCCGCCCCCACATCAGCAAAACGTTTCCCTTTGAAGACTTTTTTCGTCCAGAGAGACCCCCCGCAAAAAAAGTTGCCTGAGTGAGATCAGATAAATAGGGAGAATGGGGCACGGGTGTCATGCCATTTTTGGTCAAAACCTGCTCAACACTCAGAGTGGTGTAGATGGGTGTGCTCATACATCACCCATCAAGACATGGGCAAAGGTGTTGAAAGAATCTTCAAAAAAAATTCACTGAAGTCAAATGCAGCCTCTCACAACAATGCTAGCTGGTACACTGATGCCAATGGGTTCCTAGAATACTTACCTAGCGAGGAAGCCTGTACTACAGGGGTCTGCCCTCCAAAAGATAATCCCAATTTTTTTTTGTGTGTGTTTGTCTCCCTTGTACACACAAAGTAATAAATGTAGTCACTGCTTTTTTTTTTTTAACAAGAGCTAAAGGCCTTCAGACAGTGATTTCAGAGCTTTTCCCGTGTCTGAAGAGCACCTACTAATAATCCTACAGCCAAGAGGAAGGATCCATTGGGTGCAGGTAACAGTAATATGTGGTAGTAAAGGCCAGTAATAAAGATGATTCGATATCCACTTCCCTGTAACACCATGAAGAAGAGAATTGATCAATGAGACTAATTTTAACAAATGATTAAAGATGCCCTCAACAACTATGATTTTCCTAGGAGTATATGACATGGTCTTAGCACTCTTGTTCCTGGTTCTTGACTAGATGCTAAACCATTTAGTAACAAAGCAAAGGCAGTCCACAGCAAAGTCTTATTTACTATCATAGAAAACCATTAAAATTACACACGATTAACAGAGACTAGCCCCTTTGAATATTTTGAAAAATTTGAATAATTTGAAAAATTATTAAAATACATATAAAAATTAAAAATCTTAGCCATGGATTGGAATATTCAACCTAAATTAACAGGAACAGCTTTGAACAATGCTTTGGAGTAATAGGGTCATCTGTGAAACGTTTTGGACATTTGTTTGATATCCACACACAGGACACTTTGCAGCCTAGCTATTTCCATTTTCACTCTTTTTAAAGCAGGACAAAAGTCTAATATGTGATGTCTTATCTATTTTTATATTTGTTATTCTCACATAAGATCCAACACATTTTCTTATCATGCAAAAGAAAATTTAAAACCAAACTTACAACTTACTGCTTCCTTAAGAAATTAACCTGTAGTCTAATACACTGAGCAAAGTTTCAACTTCTAACTGTTTTCAGATTACAAAACTGAATCTCCCACAGACGTTTATGTAGACTACCTTATTCTTCTGTAGTTACTGGGGGCAACGTCACCATTCATATGAAATTGTGAGTTGATCATGGAAACCCAGAAGTCTTTAATGAGAATAGTGCTATAGGGTTGGCGAGAAGTTTATTTAAAGCATTTTCCCAGTTTTATAAGACTCTTTCCCAACACCCTCATCACACTCATTATCCTTTCTATTTCAAAGATTTCATCACATTCAAATGTGTTCATTCACTTTCTCTTATCTATCAAATAGGAGTAATCACAAAACCTGTTACAAGTCTCAACTTTAAGTAGTAATGTTTCTGGAGATGTCATTCAGTGGAATAAATGACCAGTCTATCAGCAGAAGCTTGTTGAAGGAAAAAAAGGAAACTCAATATGCTCGGCGAAGTTTTACATTAAAAGTTTCATGTTCTTACACACACGGACAGCACATGTATGCACTAATAGAGATAAAATGCTCTACACTGACAACCATCATATAGCCTCAA